CTTACAAGAGACACACACAGGGACACACACACAGACACACACACAGGGACACAGATACAAACGCACGCAGAAAGAGAGAGAGACACACACACAGACACATAGACACAAAGACCCAGAGAGAGAGGCGCGCGCACACACACACACACACAGAGAGAGAAAGAGAGAGAGACACACACAGAAAGAGAGAGAGACACAGAGAGAGAGAGAGAGAGAGATCGGCACACACACACACAGATACACACACACACAGAGAGAGAGAGAAAGAGAGAGAGACACACACAGAAAGAGAGAGACACAGAGAGAGAGAGAGAGAGAGAGAGATCGGCACACACACACACAGATACACACAGAGAGAGAGGCACACACACACACAGATACACACAGAGAGAGGCACACACACAGAGACACACACGGAGAGAGAGAGGGGCACACACACACACAGATACACACAGAGAGAGGCACACACACAGAGACACACGGAGAGAGAGAGAGGCACACACACACACAGACACAGAGAGAGAGAGGCGCGCACACACACAGACAGAGAGAGGGAGAGACACACACACACATAGACACACACATATACACGCACACACACAGAGACACACACACAGAGAGAGAGGCACACACACATAGACACACACATATACACGCACGCACACACAGAGAGAGGCACACACACACAGACACACAGAGAGAGAGGCACACACACAGAGAGAGGCGCACACACACAGACACAGAGAGAGGGAGAGACACACACACACACACATATACACGCACACACACACAGAGACACACCCACAGAGAGAGGCACACACACACACAGACACACAGAGAGAGGCACACACACACAGACACACACAGAGAGAGGCGCGCACACACACAGACACAGAGAGAGAGAGACACACACACACACACACACACACAGAGAGAGTCACACACACACACAGACACACACAGAGAGAGAGAGGCACACACACACAGACACACAGAGAGAGAGAGGCACACACACACAGACACACAAAGAGAGAGAGGCACACACACACACATATATACACGCACACACACAGAGAGGCACACACACAGAGAGAGAGAGGCACACACACACATAGACACACAGAGAGAGAGGCGCGCACACACACAGACAGAGAGAGAGACACACACATATACACGCACACACACATATACACGCACACACACATATACACGCACACACACATAGCTGGTCTGTGGAGTAATGGCATTCAAGGAACTTGAAAATATTATGAAAAAAATACCAGTGACGTCACTGCTGGGAAAGTCTGGGTCGCAGAGAAACAAGGAGAGGAACTATAGTCTGTGAGAGAAACCAGTCTATGGAGAAGAATGACAGAACACAAGATGGTCTCGTTACCTTCTGAATTTGCAGCAAAAGTCAGAAAGCACAAAAGCAGATATCCCAGGTTCACACTCGGTCCCGTCATGATGTCTCCCGATCCACAGACTGTAAAAGTGGAGTTTCTTTCTAAACAGAGACGTGGCAGTGACCGCGCAAAAGTTTAAAAACCTACGTGACGTGATCAAAAATGTCTAAAAAGTAAGTTGTCTGTGTAACTTTCGTCACTGAGTCTTTCGGGGAAACTGAGAGGAATGTGTCAGCGCCTGAGGAGGGCAAAGGCAAAGGCTGGACACGTGAGCTCCACTGCGCATGCGTAAACAGTTTCCTAAAAATCTAGAATCAACTTGAAGGACCAGGTGAAGAGTTGTAAAAGGTGTATCTATGTAATTATGCTCTTTTAAATGGTCTCCAGGAAGTTGGAACTTGCCCCAAAGTGGTTGGATTCTGGCTGAATCTCCGCCACTGACTTTCAGCGAGTTATTCACCTTTTTATGTATTTGTTTGTGTATGTAGTGTACGTGAAAAAGTGCTCATCAGACATGGCGCATTATAGCTACAGCTTGTTTTTATCCATAGTCCCGAAGCAGGAACATACAGACATTACAACATAAAAGAAGGAAATAACAGAGTCCACATTAACAGAGACCAGAGAGAGACTAGAGAGGCCAGAGAGACCAGAGAGGCCAGAGAGAGACCAGAGAGACCAAAGAGAGAGACCAGAGAGAGACCAGAGAGAGACCAGAGAGCGAGACCAGAGAGAGACCAGAGAGAGACTAGAGAGACCAGAGAGGCCAGAGAGAGACCAGAGAGGCCAGGGAGAGACCAGAGAGAGACCAGAGAGAGGCCAGAGAAGGACAAGAGAGGCCAGAGAGAGACAGAGAGACTCATTTGTCTCTCTGGTCTCTCTCTGATCCCTCTCTTGTCTCTCTTTTGTCTCTCTCTGGTCTCTCTCTGTTCTCTCTCTAGTCTTTCTGGTCTCTCTGGTCCCACTCTGGTTTCTCTCTGGTCTCTCTGGTCTCCCTCTGGTCTCTCTCTGATCCCTCTCTGGTCTCTCTCTGGTCTCCCTCTGGTCTCTCTCTCTAGTCTCTCTCTGGTCTCTCTCTGTTCTCTCTCTAGTCTCTCTCTAATATCTCTCTGGTCTCTCTCTGGTCTCTCTCTGGTCTCTCTAGTCCCTCTCTAGTCTCTCTCTGGTCTCTCTCTGGTCTCTCTAGTCTCTCTCTAGTCTCTCTCTGGTCCCTGTCTTGCAGAACTGCAGCTGGTGTTGTAATTATTCTACACAAAGAAATCTGACGTTGAGATTTGTTGACACATTTGTTTAACAAAGCACTTTATGGACACACAACAGCGCTTTACATAATTCATTCACCCTATAGACACAGGTGCCCTGGGGCAGGGTCTAGGGTGAACGACTCAAGGGCAGATTGTAGCCGCAGCCGCCCCACTGTGCCACCCGGTGTTCTCAGAGGTCTCCCATCACAGTAATAACCAGGGGTTGTCCTGGTTAGCTTTGGGTTGGGATCTGGCTTTGACCTGCAGGTGGCGCCAACTCACTATATAACGTTAATTATGATGTGGGCCAGGGTTACGTCAAGTTTAGTTGTATAGCACACTTTATACACAAGGCAACTTAAGGTGTCTAACAAAACAGTACAATAAACATTAAAATATAAACATAAAATCACTAACAGAACTGTTCTTAACATGTCTCACATTTTCAGAAAGACTGTTCTAGTTTTTGGCTGCATGAATCTGAAACCCTGCCTCCACATATTTAGTCCTTACTCTGACCAGCAAGAGGCCAGTCCCTGTGCTCCTCAGAGTTTGTTCATCTGACACTAACATGTCACTAATGTATTTTGACCAGACAAAGACACACCAGAGAGTCCAGAGACAGACCAGAGGAAGAGCAGAGAGAGACCAGAGAGAGACCAGAGAGAGACCAGGGAGAGACCAGAGAGAGATTAGAGTGAGACCAGAGAAAAACCAGAGAGAGACCAGAGTTTCTGAGAGTAAATATATTCTCGCTTCTTGGTAGATTTAATTCTTTCCTCAACAGTGACTGATAAACACATTTACAAAGTGTCCACTAGAGGGCGGCCTTGCACCGCTTTCTTGAACTCGGCCCATGATTGAATGTTTAGGGCCATTACATTAAACATGAGACGGATCGCAAAACAATAACATTAAGACTCGAGGCTTCAATTTCAAAATAAAGCAAAACAAATGTTCCGTTTTTAATGCATGTAAGAGAAAATCCTTCAGAACAAACACAATTCACTTCACAAATAATAACAACTTAAATGCATCTACACAAATCGACACAATACAATTTATACAGATTTGACATTGTCTTTAAAGGGAGGATTGGGAAGTACCTCCTTCTGGACCCGGCGAGTGCAGTCCAGTGGTTTAAGGCAGGGGTGATGTGTTTGAAATACCCGTAATAAGAATTAAATGAACAAAGGGAAGTAGCAGCTGAGTTTAAGGCTGTAAAACTCACACTTCATACACTTGTCTAACCACCTGTACACACGACTGATGAAGAGAGAGAGACCAGAGAGAGAGAGACTAGAGAGAGAGAGCAGAGAGAGAGACCATAGAGAGAAGAGATCTGCGCGCTGCTGCAGCTGTCAAAATATGTGCGTACAGTGTAAAATACAGCTGGAGAGACCAGAGAGAGACTGAGGGGAGGGACCAGAAAGAGAGACCAGAGAGAGTGACTGGAGATACCACAGAGAGAGACAAGAGGAAGACCAGAGAGAGAGACCAGAGAGAGAGACCAGAGAGAGACCAGAGAGAGAGACCAGAGAGAGACCAGAGAGAGACAAGAGAGAGACCAGAGTGAGACTAGAGAGAGACCAGAGAGAGACAAGAGAAGAGAGAGACCAGAGAGAGACAAGAGAGAGAGAGATCTTAGAGAGAGACAAAAGAGAGACCAGAGAGAGACAAGAGAGAGACAAGAGAGAGACAAGAGAGAGACAAGAGAGAGACCAGAGAGAGAGAGATCTTAGAGAGAGACAAAAGAGAGACCAGAGAGAGACCAGAGAGAGACCAGAGAGAGACCAGAGAGAGAGAGATCTTAGAGAGAGACAAAAGAGAGACCAGAGAGAGACCAGAGAGAGACCAGAGGGAGACCAGAGGGAGAGACCAGAGAGAGATCTTAGAGAGAGACAAAAGAGAGACCAGAGAGAGACACATTGTACATGTGATTCTGTGATGTTAGTGTTTTCAACCCTCCAGTCTCTCAGTGTTTACGAGTTTCCCATCGCTGCTATGCTATCAGCTTGTCTTCGGTTAGCTTCACGTTGGCACATTCAGACCTGCCACTCCTCCGGGTGACAGCTCATGCGAGGCAAACCTGGTATTTCCATCCTCCAAGAGTTGCATGAAGAGAACTAGCTTTGTGCGTTTAAGCTAGGACTGGTCCACTACCTCCCCTTTAACCCTGTTTCCTTATGTAGCTGCCATCACAAACAGACCTCTCTCTCTCAGACTTGTGAAACCGCGATGGTCCATGACTTAAGTTCACCTTATGTCACACCTTATCGCTAATGCCCGAATAAATCTGTGAGAGTGAAAACACGTCCTGAGAAAATATGTGGTTTGGGGCAGAGCCGGAGAGTCACGTCGGCACAGGCCCGGAACTGGGAGGAATGTGAGCGGCCACGGTGACGGGATCGATCGTTTCAACAGCTTTGTACGTTTGAAGGTTTGGCTGGAAATCAAAAGTCGTGAAGTTAATTATGGCATTCTTAAAACTCAAACTGACATTTTAATGATGTTTACTGTTTGAAAACTAAAGACTTGGATCCATTTAAAACAAAGAAATTAATAAATGTTGGCATTTTGACAAGTTCTGCAAGTAACAGAAAAATATGTCTGTGTGTGCTGTATATATATATATATTTATACAGTATGTACATTTGTGTGTGTGTGTGTACTGTATATGTGTGTGTTTATGTGTATGTCAATGTGGGTGTGTGTATGTGCGAGTGTGTCTGTGTGTTTATGTGTGTGCGTGTGTGTTTACGTGTATGTGCATGTGGGTGTGTCATGTTCGTGTGTGTTTATGTGTATGTGCATGTGGGTGTGTCATGTTCGTGTGTGTTTATGTGTATGTGCATGTGGGTATGTCATGTTCGTGTGAGTGTGTGCGTGTCAAGTGGTTATCATTAACTATCATTAAAGGTGAGAGAGAAGCCTCAAACTGTCAATTTAATGATTTTTATTGTTTGAAGACTGCTGAATGAAAACAACACACTTGGATCTAAATGAAATACACACAACAACATATATAACACAAATATACATGTGCGCGTGTGTGTGCACTGTATGTGTGCTTGTCTGTTTATCTATGTGTGTGTGTGTATGTGTGTGTGTGTGTGTGTGTGTGTGTGTGTGTGTGTGTGTGTGTGTGTGTGTGTGTGTGCGTGTGTGTGTGTGTCTATTTGTTTCATGATGGGACTCTGGGCCCAGGACCCTACAGAGTCTGTGAAGTCGTACCTTGTCTTTGTTGCCGTTCATCATTTCCTTGAACATGGTGGAAGGATCCGGAACGTCGGGGAAAATAATATCCTTGTGTCTGCAAACAACATCTTATTTTACCTTTTTATATTTCATTTCACACTTTCCACAAAACATCCTTTAACTATTGTTTCTGTTTTTGTGGTGTGTCGCCTTCAAACTGATGTTTCATGGATTTTGATTTCAACCTAAAAAAGTCATATTTCTGGTTGATTTGATGGTGCAAAAGAATAAATCCAGCTGCAGCACATAACCTTTAGTTTTATAAATACAGTATGTGTCGTATGATTAAGTCACATTTAGTCGACAAATCCAAACATTTCATCTTTTACAGACTCAGAATCTAAAGGAGCAGCTCAGAAAGGAACAAGCTCTAATCACAGAAGAAAACACACAAATAGGTATATATGTGTGTGTGTACTGTATATATGTGTGTGTGTGTGTGTGTGTGAGAGTACTATATGTATATATGTGTGTGTGTACTGTATATATGTGTGTGTGTGTGTGTGTGTGTGTGTGTGTATGTGTGTGTGTGAGAGTACTATATGTATATATGTGTGTGTGTACTGTATATATGTGTGTGTGTGTGTGTGTGTGTGTGTGTATGTGTGTGTGTGAGAGTACTATATGTATATATGTGTGTGTGTACTGTATATATGTGTGTGTGTGTGTGTGTGTGTGTGTGTGTGTGTATGTGTGTGTGTGAGAGTACTATATGTATATATGTGTGTGTGTACTGTATATATGTGTGTGTGTGTGTGTGTGTGAGAGTACTATATGTATATATGTGTGTGTGTGTGTGTGTGTGTGTGTGTGTGTGTGTGTGTATGTGTGTGTGTGAGAGTACTATATGTATATATGTGGGTGTGTGTGTGTGTACTGTATGTATATGTTTGTGTGTATGTGTGTGTGTGTGTGTACTGTATATATGTGTGTGTGTGACTGTATATGCGTTTGTGTGTGCACTGTATGTATATATGTGTGTGTACTGTATATTTTATACTGTATATGTGTGTGTGTGTGTGCGCGTGTACTGTGTGTATGTGTGTGTGTGAGTACTATGTATATGTGTGTGTGTGTATGTATGTGCTGTATATACAAGTGTGTGTGTGTGTACTGTATGTATATGTTTGTGTGTATGTGTGTGTGTACTGTATATATATGTGTGTGTGTGTGACTATATATATGCGTTTGTGTTTGTACTGTATGTATACATGTGTGCGTGTACTGTATATATATATGTGTGTGTATGTACATACTGTATAAATATGTGTGTTTGTGTGTGCTGTATATATATATGTGTGTGTGTGTGTGTGTACTGAATGTATAAGTGTGTGTGTGTGTGTGTGTATTTTTTAGCTTGACCTAGCAGGTTAGCATAATCCATTAATACACGGTCTATGGGAGGTTCCAGTTTGGGAAATAATTCATGCTAAATATAACAACACTGCCACAGTATGTTCTGTTACTGCAAAACACACAAATAAGTCATGTGTACCTGAATTTTTATGACTCATGACTAAAAGTGAAATGGTGCCAAGTTGCTAACCGCACTGAGCATTATGGTTAGACGGTGAATGCATATTTGGCTCATAAAAACAAGATCAGAACCAACGCCTCGTGTAAATACCTGATTAGTAACGCTAGCTACACCTGCGCTATAGGAATGCAGTCACCCGTTTGGGAAAATTACCTCCTGAAGCAAATGCACGACACGATGACAGAGAGAGAGACGATGATGGGGATCACGATGGCTACTATTGTCAGGCTCCAGTCAGTCCAACCTGAGGGAAAAACACACACACCAAGAGACAAAAAGGGGAGATTTTAAAGAGAAGGTAGAAGTTGGATTGAAATATAGAAGGATTTTTATAGATAGGAGTGTTATCTCAGTCCCTGCTTATAAGACTGATAGTACAGACGGTAAGGACGGACTGAGGCTGAAGGTCCAGGACTGAGGCTGTAGATCCAGGACTGAGGCTGTAGATCCAGGACTGAGGCTGTGGATCCAGGACTGAGGCTGTAGATCCAGGACTGAGGCTGTAGACCCAGGACTGAGGCTGTAGACCCAGGACTGAGGCTGTAGACCCAGGACAGAGGCTGTAGATCCAGGACTGAGGCTGTAGACCCAGGACTGAGGCTGTAGACCCAGGACAGAGGCTGTCGATCCAGGACTGAGGCTGTAGACCCAGGACTGAGGCTATAGACCCAGGACTGATGCTGTAGACCCAGTACTGGCACTGTTGACCTAGGACTGATGCTGTAGACCCAGGACTGATGCTGTAGACCCAGGACTGAGGCTATAGACCCAGGACTGAGGCTGTAGACCCAGTACTGGCACTGTTGACCTAGGACTGATGCTGTAGACCCAGGACTGAGGCTGTAGACCCAGTACTGGCACTGTTGACCTAGGACTGATGCTGTAGACTCAGGACTGAGGCTGTAGACCTAGGACTGATGCTGTAGACTCAGGACTGAGGCTGTAGACCCAGGACTGAGGCTGTAGACCCAGGACTGAGGCTATAGACCCAGGACTGAGGCTGTAGACCCAGTACTGGCACTGTTGACCTAGGACTGATGCTGTAGACCCAGGACTGAGGCTGTAGACCCAGGACTGAGGCTGTAGACCCAGGACTGAGGCTGTAGACCCAGGACTGAGGCTGTAGACCCAGGACTGAGGCTGTAGACCCAGGACTCACCGTACTCCACCTCCTCGCTCCAGTCGCTGTAGATGGGGGTTGTGTCTGGAGTATACGTCTGGTGCTGGACCCTGAACACGCAGCCTTTAGAATACGGTATCAATATTTCCATGGATTTCGTCTCCACTGGGGGCTCCTCGCACATCTAGACAAAGAAACACACACATTTCAGCACAACAACACAACAACACAATGAGTAAAAGCTGACAGTACTTACTTTGTGCCCGTCGCAGGCAGAGTAACAGATATTGTAACGAGAATTATCGGGAATTTCCACTTCGGGCGGCTTCACTGTAAGAATGAGGGAATTCCCTTTTTCCGATATTTGCATTTTCTCCGGAGGTCGGAACGCTACGACCCAAAGAAAACAAACAAACATGGAACGTTACTCATTTGTTTTTGTGTTTTGATGCATCTTAAAAGTAGAAATATGTAGATCACTGGTAAAGTACCATGTGGCACAGAACTAAAAAAGGTCTCGTCATGATTCTCAAATCATTAACGACAAAACAAGGAATAAAACCAGGATTTCTATCTTTGTGAAAAGGGTGTTAGATTTGTTGTTGACAAAACGCTTCTATTCAGCTGTTACGGTCCCAGCTGGATTCGTCTGCATATCTGGCAACCTGAGTCAGGGAGAGTGGGAGAGGCTGCAGTACCACTTTTGGACACATTTTTACAGATTTTTACATACTGCTCCGTGCGCATTTACTAAAACAACCCTCAAAGCATCCAATGGTCTTTCAGGAGTGCCAAAATGTCGTAAGGTGAAGGCCAGATTGTAGCACACACACACACACCCACACCCACACCCACACACCCACACAAACAAACACACACACATAATTACCCGCCCTGCTGTCTGTATCTTCTGTCTTATTGTATTTGTTTGTAAATTAGCATCTGTATTGTACGTCTTGTTGTATGTGTATATTGTGTGTCTATATTGTATGTGTATATTGTGTGTCTATATTGTATGTCTATATTGTGTGTCTATATTGTATGCCTATATCATACAGTATGTCCATATTTTCACATTATAAACAAATAAAAGGATAAACGGAGTCACCCTTGGGGGCCCTGAAGGTGCAGACTGCGTTGGGGCTGGAGGCGACCAGACACAGGTCTCTCTGGAGGAAGTTCCCTCTGAGGGCACACCCTCGTCTGGATCCGGACTCGTAGGTTCTGTCGCAGGTTTTAAATTCATTGAGGAGCTCGGTCTTTGTGCCACAGTCTCTGAAACACAGACGGGACTGATATCAGTGACTACAATTCTTTATCACCGGCAAATTCAATTATAGTTTTAAGACATTAAAGATGCAGTCAGTGATTTTTCCAGACGCAATTCTTGAAATACTGTGGGGAAACGGCCATTTACCCGGAAAGTAGTCAAGGTATCATGTGTTTTCAAATAGGAATGGAATGGACCAGATGCCTCTAACCTTAAAAAATAAATCTTAAATATTTGAAGCGGATTGATAGAAATAAACCATTAGGATAACCCCCCTCCTCCTACTTTTTGTCAGTCATCTGTCAGATTTTCTAAAACACCTACAATGTCTGAACCGAAAACCCCCAAAGTGACAATTTCACGTTTGGCACTCGCCTGTTGTGGCAAAGAAGAGTTTTTGACTGGTTTACTGCACCTTTAAAGCTGGAGTCGCTCATTTCAGAAATAAAACATATAACTAGTTCCTCGCTCGCAAGACATTTTAAATCCTCACTCAATATGTAAAAGAGAAAATGTCCTGACTTAAATACAAAAGGGATGTGAAAAACAAAAAAACTAAAGAAACAAGACAATCTCCACCATTATCTGTTCTCACATCACATTGAGACTTATTGTACATGTACAGTACCTGGAGTAAACCTACACAGACACGAGGAGAACATGCAAACTCCACTCAGAACTGCTCCAGTGTCTGCTGCGTCGACACTGGAGATTAATGGATTCATACAAACACGAATAACTTTTCCAAATCCAGTTTTAAAGGTTGATCTTGAATGAATATGTGTTGTTTTTATCTCTATGTCTCACTGCGTCCAAAGTTCCTCATCCACATTTGTTTATCCTCCTCATCTCTCCGTTCTCCACACATCTATTCAAATAACTAACTTCATATCTTCACCTCCATCTACAAGATTTTATCAAACTCATGTTACTTCTATGCAAACTCAGCAGAAAAACAACACATGCAAAGAAACAACACAATCGCAAATATTAAAAACAAAACAGGGAACGCACACTCCTGGTCACACACACACACACACACACACACTCACACAGACACACACACACACAATGCAAATATTGGACTCAAAAGCATTTGTGCGGAACGTCTAAATTTACGGTCAGAGCTGTTATATTTTATTGGAGGGTTTTTACAAGCGAACGGGTTAGTTATAATGAGGCTGTCGTCTATAAAGCCCCGTTTCCACCAGCCCTACTTTACTTTTGTACAGCCCTGAATCACAACAGCAGTCGTCTCGAAGGTCTTTACAAAGTTGTCGATTCACCAACAACAGATCAGAGAAGCAAAACAGTTTGAACCCAGGAAATGCGATGATGATAAACACATAGAAGCCATTGGTCCATATGAGCTTAAAGGAGCAATTTGTAAGATTTTCAAGCCAAGTCATCATTAAAGGGCCCTAATCTGTCCAAAGACATTAATAAAACATGCTCTTTTCCAATACTTATTTAACTGATAACAGTAGTTCAGAGATATTTGGATTTCAACATTGGTTTTCCAGCTCCTAAATCTTGTTATTGTTTTCATTTCGATGTCCCGCCCTCCACCGTTTCACCAATCAGAAAGTCTGTGATCCGGGCGCCAGAACTCACTGCGTCAAGCTAATCTCACTGGTAAAGTACCATGTGGACACAGAACTAGAAAAACGTTTCACCTCTGTCCTTAGTAGGAGCAGACCCTTCCCTCATTGTGGGTCTCCCTGAGGTTTCTCACTTTTCTCCCACTGGGTTTTTAAGAGTTATTCCTTTCTGATGCAGGAGGGTCTAAGGCAGGCAGGTCAAATCTGACTTAGAAGTTACGTTAGGCCAAAGATTTGATTTAACTATCAATCTTCAATTCCATCTTCTTTGATATTTGGCCCAGTTGTTATTGAATCCAAACTACAACTAAACTAACAAACTAATTCCAGACCTTCTAAAATCCAAAAATCCTTTTGTATTTTTGGTCCCAACCAGCTCTAATGTTTTTCAACTCGGCCCTCGACCAAAATGAGTTTGACACCCCGGGTCTAGGGCAAAGGTGTCCAAACTTTTTAGTGATGGGGCGACTGCAGTTGACCTGAGACAACACAGAAACAGCTTTGACTGGATCCGGCTGTTCTGAGTTTTAAAATGAGGAGTCCAAATAGATTCACATTTAACAGACGTTTACTAGCTTACTGTCACACCACAGCTGCATTAGCGCCATATATGAGATTTTGTTGGATGACTCTGTGGACTTGTGTTAATGATCTCAATGGCTACTTTAGGTTAGCAAGGCGGAGGGCCACATAACACGACACAGAGGGCCGCAATCTGCCCCCGGGCCTTAGTTTGGACATGCCTGGTCTAAGGACAGTGGTGATGATCCAGGAAACTCAACATTCAAAGACATTTGTGGACAATGGTCTCTGCCTCTTATGGACTGTTTTGGTTTGTAAATTACATATTACAAAATGAGTTGGTTTTGTGTCATTTTATAGTGCCCTCTGGTGGCGCTCTATGTTTGCAGTTTGACGGTTGAGAACGTTATGCTGTCCTGTGTGGCAGAAGAGCAGCCCTTCAGTGTCCTTTGACCCACATAAGGCTGTATGTTTTGGTTTTGGTGATGATAATGTCTATATTTTATTATTCTGTAACAACTGATATCTACCTTGATTCGTTTCCTGTAAGCAAATTATGAGTTTTTAGAGTAACTGTAAAAACGTTAGCGTTCGTTAGCATTATGCTAGCACACTTTTCATATGCAAATGAGACCGCTTTGTTTATCACATTTAGATGAGAGTCATTTGAATAAGAGCTACTGTGTAATACTGTAGAGTAAATGTTTTATTATGTTCATATCAACTCTGTTAATGTTATTAGACAGTAACTACTGTTAGTTCAGACACTGTAATTCACTTATTCTAATTGCTGTATTTTTGTGTGTGTTACAGCTTTACAGTAAATGAGTAAATGAGAAGAAATGTCAAGTAAACAACTTCTCAAACAAACCTGTCTGTTCGCTGTCTGTCTTAGCTGAATATCTCTCAACACTTAGTGAGGACAGAACATGGACCATTGGCTCTATTTGCATTTCCTGCGTTGTGAAATGCTCTGTGATTTATGCCGATACAAAAACAAAAAGAATTGAATTAGCAGAGAAGGACTTGAAAACCCAGTGGGAACAACTCTAGGAGGCCTATAATCAAGACAGGTCAATTTATTTTTATATAATTATTTCATCTGTTTTTGTTTTGTTTTACTAATGACTTTAATTAAACCACAATAAATACAACTGTGTCCATGTATCATTAAAGTATATAGGAGGGTTTTCTACTTCCGGGTGGATCATCAAGACTATTGGTTCTCGTAATTGTCAGTCATTAGGGGGTTTTGTGGGTTTTATTTGTGGTAGTTGGGGGGGGGGGGGGTTAGGGGGGGTGTTGTATTGGGTGGTGGAATTTGGGTGGTGGGTGGGGGAATGGGTGGTTTTTTGTGAATGGGGGGGTGGGGGTGGGGTATGGGGGGGGGGGTTATGTTGTGGGGTTTGGGTTGTTGTTGGGGTTATGATTGGGGGTGGGTGGTTGTTTTGGGGGGTATAGGGGGGGGTGGTTTAGGGGGGTATTTGTGGTGGGGGGGGTGGTGGGTGGGTGTGTTTGGGGGGGGGGGGGGGGGGGGGGAAGGGGGTTATGGATTTTGGAGTGTTTGTAGTATGGGAAATGTGTGTTGGGGGGGTATTGGGGGGGGGGGGTGTGGTTTTTGGGTTGTGGTTGGGGTGGGGGGGGGTTTTGGTGGTGTATGGGTGAGGGGTTTGGTGGGTTGGTGTTGGGTTGTGGAGGGGTTGGTTGGGGGTTGTGGAGTGTGGGGGGGTGGGGGGTGGGGGGGTTGGGGGGGGGAGGTAGTGGGGTTTTTGGGGGTGGTTGGGGGGGGATGGGGTGGGGGGGGGGTTTTTGGGGGTGGGTTTGTGAGAGATTAGTATTTGTTGTGTGGGGTGTGGGGGGTGGGGGGGGATATGGGGGTGTATAATTGGTAGTGGAAGTGGGTGTAGGAGGTGAGGGGGGGGGGAGGGGTATGAGAGTTTGGTTTATGTTTTGATGGATATAGGGTGGTGAAAATTGTTGGTATATAAGTGGGTTAGGAGGTTGTTGGGTGGGTGGGGGGGGTTGTGGAAGGTTGGGGGGGGGGGTGGGGGTTGGATAGGTTGGGGGAAGGGGGAGTATGAGTTTAGTTTTGTTAGGGTATAGGGAAATGGGGGGGGATGGGTTGAGGGTGAAGGAGGGGGGGAAGGGGATTAATGGATAGTTTTACGGAAGGGGAAATGATGGGGATGGATGGGATGAGGTATGGGAAGAGAGGGGGGGGGAAGAGAGAGGAGAGAGAGAAAGGGGAAGAGAGAAAGAGAGAGTGAGTTTAGAAGAGGGGGGAAGAGAGGGGGGGGGGGAGGGGAGAGGGGAGAGAGTGGGATAGAGGGGGGGGGAGTGATATAGATGATTGAGAAGGGGAGAGAGAGGGGGGGGAGAGAATGGGGAGAGTATGTGGTAATGAGAGGGGGGGGAGAGAATGGGGGTGAGAGGGGAGAGTGTGTTGATTGATAAGAGTGAGAGGAAGTGGGGGGGGAGAGAGAGGGGGGAGAGGGGGAATAGAGGGGGGGTATGGGAGGGGGGAGTGTGTAGGGGGGAGTGAGGGGGGGGTGAGTGTAGGGGGGGGTGTGGGGTGTGTGGGGGTTGATGGTGTTGGGGGGGGGTATTGTGGGGGGGGGGTGATAGTAGAGGGGATATATTGAGGGGAGAGATATTTGGGTTGTGGGTTGGGGGTGGGGGTTGGTGGGAGGGGGGGGTGTGTGGGAGGGGGGGGGGGGGGGTGGGGGATGGGGATTTTGGTGGTGTTATAGGGGGTTTGGGGGTGGTGTGAGGGGGGTGTGGAAGTTTTGGGTATTGTTTGGGTGTAATGTGTGTTGTGGGGGTAGTGATGGTGGTGTTGGGGGTGTGTGTGGGGTGTGTGTAGGGTGATGGGGGGGTGTGTGATGGTGTGTGTTTGGTGTGTGTGTGTGTTGTGGGGTGAGTAGGTGTGTAAGGTGGTGTGTGTGGTAGTGTGTGTGGGGGTGTGTGGTGTGTGTGGGGGGATGTAGTGTGGGTGTGTGTTGGGAGTGTGTGTGGTGTGTGTGTGGTGATTAGTATGTGGGGGGGTGGTGTGTGTGTTGTGTGTGGGTGAGTGTTGGGTAGTGTGAGGGGGGAGTGTGTGGGTGGTGTAGTGGGGGTGAGTGTGTGGAAGTGTGATGGTGTGTGAGTGGGGATGATTGAGTGTGTTGAGTGTGTGAGGGTGAGTGTGTGGGGGGGTGTGTGTGTAGTGAGGGGGGGTTGATGTGTGTGTGTGTGGGGATGTGTTTGGGGATGTGTGTGTGGGGTAGTTGTGGTTTGTGTGTGTGTTGGGATGAGAGAGGGGGGTATTTGTAGGATGGTGTTGTGTGGGGTGAGAGAGTGTTGTGGTAGTGGTAGTAGTGTGGATGAGTGATGAGGTGATTGTTGAGGGGTTGTGTGTGGGGGTGTGTGTTGTGGGGAGTGTAGTGTGGGGGGTGTGTGTAGGGTGTGTGTGTGGGGGTGTGTGTGTGGGTGTGAGTTGATGATGGTAGGGGTGTGTGTTGGGGGGGTGTGTGTGAGGGGGGTGATGTGTGGTGTGTTGTGGGTAGTATGGTGGTGTGATGAGTGGGGAGAGAGATGTGGGGTGTGTGAATGTGGGGAGTGTTGGGAGTGTAGTGGGGGGGGGATGTGTGTGGGTTGGTATGAGAGGGTAGTGTGTGGGGGGTGTGTGAGTGTGTAGTGGGATGTGTGGTTTTGTAGTGTGGTGTGTGAGGGGGATGTTGATAGGAGTTAGGTTAGTGGGGGGTGTGGGGGTGTATGGGGGTTTGTGTGTTGAATTGGAAATTGTTTTTGGGTGGTGTGGTGGGTGGGGGGGGGGGAGGGATGGTTTGGGGGGGTGGTTGGGTTTTGGGTGGTTAGGGGGGGGTGGGGTGTGGGGGTTATGGGGGGATGTGGGGGGAGGGGTTGGGTGTTGGGTGTTGTGGGGGTAGGTGGGTGTTAGGTGGGTGGGTAGATTTATGGGGGTGGGTGTGTGGTAGTGTGGGGTGGTGGTGGGGGTGGGGTGGTGGGGGGGGGGGGGTGGGGTGTTTGGTAGGGGGGTGGGGTGGGGGGGGGGGTTTGGGGGGAGGGGGTGTGTGGGGTGGGGTTGGGTTGGGGGGAGATGGGGGGGTGTTTGGATTGGGTGATGTGGTTAGTGGTGGGTATTGGTAAGGTAGTAGTGGGGTTTGGTGTTTTTGGGTTTGGGTGTTGTATTGGGGATTTTTGGGGATATGTTTTGGGAGTGTGGGGGGGGGGTATATTGGGTAGGAATGGGTGTTGTGTGGGGTAAGATGGGTGATTGGAATGGTATGAGTGTATTGTTGGGGGGTAGGTAATGGGTTTGTGGTGTTGGGGGGGGGTTGGGGGGGTGTTTGGGGGTTTGAGGGGGGGGGTGGTGGTGTGGTGTGGGGTGGGTGGGGGTGGGGGGGGGGGGTGGATGGGGGGGGGGGGATTGGGTGGGGGATGGGGGGGGGGGGGTGGGGGGTAGTGTGTGTGGTGGGGGGTGGTGTTGTTTTTTGGGGGATTTTTGGTTTTTGTGGGGGGTGGGGGGGGTTTTTTTGGGTGTTGGGGTGGGTGGGGTGGGGTGTTATGGTTTTGGGGGGGGTTTTGGGGGGGTGTGTTGGGGGGGTGGGGGTGTGGGTTTGGTGGGGGGGTGGGGGGGGGTGGGTTGAGTTGTGTGGGTTGGTTTGGGGTTGTGGGGGATGTGTTTGTTTGTGGGGGGGGGTGGGAGGTTTGGATGGTTGGGGTGGTTGGGGGGTGGTGGGGGTTGTTGGGTGTTGTTTGTTTTGGGGGGGGTGTTGGGGGGGGTGGTTGTTTTGGTGGGTGGGGGGGGTTGGTGTGGTGGGTGGGGTTGGGAGTTGGGTGGGGGGTGGTGGGTGTGGGTGTTGGTTAGGAGTTTTGGTGTGGTTGGGGTGGTGGGGGGGGGTGGGGGTTGGGGGGGTGTTGGGTGGGGTTGGTGGGTTAGGGGTGGGGGGGGGGGTGTGTGGTGGAGTGTTGGGGGGGGTGGGGGGTGGGTTGGTGTGGGGGTGTGTGGTGTGGGGTGGGGGGTTGGTGGTTGGGGGTTGGGGGTGGGGGTTGGTGGGGTTGTGTGTGGGGGGGTTTGGGGGGGGGGGGTGGTTGGGGGGGTGTTTGGTTTGGGGGTGGGGGGGGGGGGTGTGGGGGGGGGTGGGGGTTGGGGGTGTGTGGGTTGTGGGGGTGTTGGTGGGGTGTGTGTTGGTGTTGTTGGTTGGGGGGGGGGTGGTGGGGGGGTGGTTGGTGTGTGTTGTGGGGGGGGGGGGGGGGGTGTGGGGGGTTGGTTGGGTGGGTTGTTTTGGTGGGTTTGGTGTTTTGGGGGGGGGTTGGTGGTAGTGGGTTTGTGGGTGTGGGGGGGTGGTTGTGGTTTGGTGTGATGTGGGGTGGGGGGGGGGGGGTGGGGGGGTGAGGGGGTGGGGGTTTGTGTGGGGGTGTTTGGTGGGGGGGGGGGGGGGGGTATGGGGGGGGTTGGAGGGGTTTTGGTGGGGTGGGGTGGTTGGGGGTGTTTGGGTGGGGTGTGGGGTGGGTGGGGGGGGGTTGTGGGGGGGTGTGGGGGTTGGGTGGGGGGGTTGTGGGGGGGGGGGTGTGGTGGGTGGGTGGGGGGTGGTTGTGGGGGGGTGGGGGGGGGGGGGGGGGGTGGGTGGGTGGGGTGGTGGGGTTAGGGGGTTGGGGGGGGGGGTGGGGGGGGGTTGGGGGGGGGGGTGGGGGTGGTTTGTGGGTGTGGGGGGGGGTGGGGGGGGGGGTGGGGGGGGTGTTGTGGTGGGGGGTTTTGGTTTGGTGGGTGTAGTGGGTTTGGGGGGGGGGGGGTGGGTAGGTGTGGGGTGGTTTTGGGGGTGTGGTGGGGTGGGTGGGGTTTGGGGGGGGGTGTTTGTTTGGGTGGGTATGGGGTATTGTGGTTTGGGGTGGGGGGGGGGGGGGGTTTTGTTTTGTGGTGTGGGGGGGGGTTGTTGGGGGTGGGGGGGTGTGGTTTTGGGGGATTGAGGGGTGGAATGGGTTGTGGTTTGTGTTGGGTGGATGGGTTGGGGGGGGGTGTTGTTGGGGTTTGGGAAATTGATGGTTAGGGTGTGTTTAGGGGGTGGGGTTTGGGAATTTGTGGGGTTGGGTGGGGGGTTGGGTGGGTTGGTGGGGGGTTGGTGTGGTTGGTGTGGTTTGGTTTGTGTGAGGTTGGGTGGTTGTGGTGTGGTGTGGTGTGGTAGTGGGGGGGTTTGGGGTGTTAGTTGTTGTTGTATATGTATAGTTATGTAGTGGTGTGTGTGATGGAAGTAGTGGTGATGTGGTGTGTAGGGGTAGTGATGTTGAGTTGATATGTTGTGTTATGTTGATAGAGTGTATGTGTGGAGTGTGAGATGGGAGTGGAGTGTAGTGTAGTTAGTTAGTAGTATTGAGTAGGTTAGGGTTTTTGAGGAAAGGATGTGGTGGTGTAGTAAGGTGGAGTAGAGAGAGGATAGGTTTGTTGAGGTGAGGAGTAGTTTTGGTGGAAGGGGTTAATGGTTGGTTAGGTGGGTGGATGATGTGTTATGGTAGTGTAGAGTTATTATTGATTTATTTAATTAATGTAGAGTTGTAGTTTGGAGTGTAGTGGTTATGTTGGTGTGTAAGGTGTGTAGTGGGGGGGGGTAGGAAGGGGGGGTGTTTGGGGTTGTTGTAAATGGTGGGGAAAGATAGGGGGGTTGGTGGGTTAGTGTTTGGGTGGGTGGGTGGGTGGGGGGTTGGGGGGGGGGGTTGTGTGGGGGGGGGTTGGGGGGATGGGGGGGGGGGTATATGGTAGAGGGGGGGGGGGGGGGGGTTTTGGGTTTAGTGGGGTTTAGGGAAGTGTGTGGTTGGGTGGTGTGGTGAGATAGGGGGGGGTGGGGGGAGGGTGGTTTTGGAGGGATGGGGTTGTATGGGGGGGGGGGGGGTTGATGGGTTGTTTATTGGGGGGTTGGGTGGTTGGGGGTGGATAGGGGGGGGGGGGGGGGGATTGGTGGTGTGGTATGAGGAATGATATAAAGGTGGGGTGGGTATAGAATGAGGGGGGGGTATGGGAAAGGAGAATAGGGATGGGGGGGTATGGGTTGAGGGTAGGAGTGGGGGGTAAGGTATGAGATTGGAGTTTTATAGGGGAGAGGGGTGGAAGAATGGTAAGTGAGAGTAGGAGAAAGATAAGAGGGGAGAGAGAGAGAAGAGAGAGGGGTAAGAGAGAGATGTAGAGAGAGAGATATATGGAAGGGGAATGTATAGGGATGAAGAATGGGAGGGGGAAAAATGTGTTTATAGTGAAGGGTTTTTGATGTGTTATTGTTTGGGTGGGGGGGGTGTGGGAGGAGGGGGGGAGAGAGAGGGGGAGAGAGTGTGGGTAGAGGGGGAGGTGAGAGAGGGGGGGAGAGAGAGGGGGGGATTAGATTATGAATAGGGTAGAAATAGGGGGGATAGAGAAGAGAGGGGGGTGATAGAGGGGAGAGATAGGAGAGATAAGGGGGAGAAAATAGGGGATAGATAGGGAGAGTAAATGGTGGAGAAATATTAGAGATAGGGAGGGAGAGAGAGAGGAGAGGGGAGGGGGAGTGGAGGAGTGAATGGGGGGGGAAGGGGGGGGTGGTGTTTGGTGGGGAAGGGGGGGGGGGGATTTAGGTGGTGAGAGAGATTGGGAGGTGGTGTGGGATAGGTGGGGGATATGTTGGGGTTATAGGAGGTAAGGGGGTAAGAGGTAGGGGGAGAGGGGGAGATGGTGGGGTTGTGGATGGGATTTGTGTGGGGTTGGGTATAGGTGTGATATTAGGAGGGAGATGTGGAAATGAATATAATATGGTTTAGGTGTTTGTGGGTAGGGTGTGAGGGTGGATGGGGGGTGGAATGTTTGTTAGGGGGGGGGGGGGGGGGTTGGAGGTGTTATATTTTGGGGGAGGGTGGGGTTATTAATGTGTGGTGGGTTGTGAATGTTGTGTGGGTAATGTTTGGGTGGGTGTAATGTTGAATATTGTTGTAGGTGGGTGTAATGTGGTTTTGGTGTAATTGTGTGTGGAATTGGTGGTGGTGTGTGTTTTTGTGGGTAATTTTTGTGGAATGTGGGTATTTTTTGTGGTGTTTAAATTGGGTAATGGGTGGGGGTTTTGTGGATGTTTGGTTGTGGTTTGTTGGGGGGGTTTTTGGTGGATGGGGTGGGGAGTGGGGTTAAGGGAGAGGAAAGGGAGGGATTATGGGGGGGGGAATGGTAGTATGGTTGTGGGTGGGGGTAAGGAGGGAAGATAAACGATGATTATAAGGGGTGGAGGGATATGAGGATATAGAAAAAGTTAGGGGGGACATTTGAGATAGGAAGAAGAATTTTAGGGGATGAATGTTAAAAATAGTAAGGGTGGGTGGTTATAGTGGGTGTAGATGGGATGGTATTAGGAGGTATTTGATGGAGGATATGGGTGGTGGGGGTGTTGGGGGAAAAATTGGGGAGAGTTGATGTGGTTTGGTTTTTGATTAGTGGTTTTTGGGGGGGGGGGGGGGGGGTTTTTTTGTTTGTGGGGGGGTTGTTGGGGATTGTTGTGGGGGGGGGGGGGGGGGGGGGTTTTGGTAGTGGAGTTGGGGGGGGGTTGTTATTTTAATTGTGTGGGGATTAATTGTTGGAATTGTGTTAATTGTGTGTGGTAGGTTGGTGAGGGAGTTGTGGTGTTAGTGTGGGTAATTTGTGTAATTTGGTGGGGTAAGTGTTTTTATAGGTTGGGATAATTGTGTGAGGTAATTGGTGAGTGGAAGGGGGGTAATGTGGGTGAGGGGTGGATAGTTGAGTTGAAGATTTGGGGGGGGTGGGGGTATGAATGTGAGATGTAATTTGGGGTAGGGGAGGGTGTATGGTTGGGTGGGGAAGGGTATGTTGTGTATGAGTGTCTGTTGTGTAGGAGTTAATGGTAGGGTGGTGGTAGGATGGATGAGTGAAGTATGATAAATGGGGGTGTGTATATAAATGAGGTAGAATGGGGGGGGGGGGGGGAGTAAATGTGAGGGGAATGGGGGATGATGATGTTTGTTGGGGATAATAGGGAAGAGTGAGAGGATGAAGATGGGAGGAATTAAATTGAAGGGATCGGATAGGGGGTTGAATAATGGGGTTTGAAGGGGGATGGAGAGGATGAATATGGGATAGGGGAGGTGATGAGGGGAGGGGGAGTTGGGGGGGATGGTAGATGGGTGAGGGAGATGAATGGGGAGGATTAGGTTGGGGGGGGGGGGTGTGTGGATGTGTAGGGTGGGTTGGAGGATTGAGTGAGTATGGTATTTGGGGTGGATGATAGTGGGTTGGATATTGGGGGTGGGTTTGGGGGTGGGGGGGTGGGGGGATGAGGGGGATTGGGTTTTATGTGAATGGGGGGGTGATGGGGGATGAGGTGGAATTATGATTATTTGGGGGAGATGGGGGGGGGGGATTGGGGGGGGGTGGGGTGGTTGGGGATGTTGAGATTGGTGGTATGGGGGGGAATATTTAGATGTGGGAATTAGTGTGTTAAGTTAAGTGATTGGGAGGTTTGGAGGGGGGGGATGGTTTTGTTATTAGGGGTTGTTGGGAGGGGTGGATGTGAATTGGGAAGGGATGGGATGGTATTATTGAGAGGAATTTTGGGTGGGAGGGTTTTGGGAGGGAAATGGGTAATTTTGAGGTTCATTTTTGTTGAGTGTTTATGGGGTGATTAATATGGATTTGTTTTGATTATGTGGGGGGGTGTGAGTGGGGGGGGGAGGGTTGAGGTAAGGTGAGGTAGTAGGTTAGTGTGATATGGTTTTTAGTAGGGGGGTTGAAGGAAGAGAGGGGTTAGGGGAGGAGGAAGGATAGGGGGGTTGGGTAGTAGGGGGAAGGGGGGGGAGAGGGAAAGAGAGATGGAAATAGAGAGGGGGAAAAGAGAGAGGGAAAAGAGAGGGGGAAAGAGAGTGGGTAAAGAGAAAGGAAAGAGAGAGAGAGAGAGAGAAGGGAGATTGAGGGAAAGGGGGGAGAGGAGGGTAGAGATATAGGGAAAGTGAGGAGAGAGGGAGAGAGAGGGAGAGGGATGGAGAGAGTGGATAAGGTACTTCCTTTTCTTTTATGTATTTCTATTATTGATTAAAGTGAACAATATCTCTATTCTACTGTTTTACAGTGAAAAAGATGGACTAGTTGGACTATGTTTGTATATGCTGTAGATCAGGGGTGTCCAAACTTTTTAGAAAGAGGGCACTTTTAGTTCATCAGACTTGACCTGGGGCCGACAACCTGGATTTTAAAAACTGGATTTGAGCGAGATTCTGGATTTTAAATGGTTTATATACTCCTTTTTGATTCACAGCAGTGCATTTTAATGTGACTGTTGTGGACACAATCTTAAAACAAATGTCTAATATATAAAAAGAGAGTCAATGTGTGGATTCCAGTGGTCTGAATTTACAACAATATAGCAACACTGTATCGGTGGAGCTGAAAGTTGGTTGGATGACACCTCGTCAAAGTGCCTCAATGTGACTTTGTGTAAGCAGCAAGGGCCACATACAATGTGAAAGAGGGCCTAATGACCCCCAGGCTGAGTTTGGACATGTCAGCTGTAGATAAATCCTTATGCAGAAGCCAGACTCTCAATCCTCCTCCGTTTCCCTTTTCTTCCAGATCATCCGCACCCGGGAGCGCAGCAACGACTTTCAAACGCGCGGGCGAGGTGTACTTTGCGTCACTGCTGACAGTGCTCTTCACGGGAAGCTGGAATATTACACCCGACATCATGAGGACGCGTGCTGCGGAATCAAGTGTTTACTCACCACACAGCAGCGTGGCCACGACTGGACCCATGTCTGAACCTAAAAGCAAGACATAAACCAGGACTGAACCAGGACTAAACCAGGACGGAACCAGGACTGAACCAGGACTGAACCAGGACTGAACCAGGACTGAACCAGGACTGAACCAGGACTGAACCAGGACTGAACCATGAACCACCTGCTGTGAAAGCCTGATCAGACCTCTGAGGACAGGACCTGGTCAGCACAGTAATGGAAGACAGGGTCCCAGGGTCTAGTCCTGGTCCTGGTCCTGGTCCTGCCCTGTGCCCTGGACCACCTCTCCTCAGACTCAGACTTGTCGAAACCTGTCGGGTTGTAACAGTAAAGATGGAGCTTTTATGAGAAAAGGTGAAAGTTAAGAGCATTTCTAAGACTTATAAATGTCACTGTGGTCGAAGGAGGAGGAGAGGAGGAGGAGAGGAGAGGGGAGGAGAGGAGAGGTGGGGAGGAGAGGAGGAGAGAGAGAGGAGGAGGAGGAGAGGAGAGGAGGAGAGGAGAGGGAGGAGAGGAGAGGAGAGGAGAGGAGAGGAGGGGAGGAGAGGAGGAGAGGAGGAGAGGAGAGGAGGAGAGGAGAGAGAGGAGAGGAGAGGAGAGGAGAGGAGGAGAGGAGAGGGAGGAGGAGAGAGAGAGGAGAGGAGGAGAGGAGAGGAGGAGAGGAGAGGGGAGGAGAGGGGAGGAGAGGAGAGGGGAGGAGAGGAGGAGAGGAGGGAGAGGAGGAGAGGAGAGGAGGAGAGGAGAGGAGGAGAGGAGAGGGAGGAGGAGAGGAGAGGAGAGGAGAGGAGAGGAGGAGAGGAGGAGAGGAGAGGAGAGGAGAGGAGAGGAGAGGAGAGGAGGAGAGGAGGAGGAGGAGAGGAGAGGAGAGGAGAGGAGGAGGAGAGGAGGAGGAGGAGAGGAGAGGAGGGAGGAGGGAGAGGAGAGGAGGAGAGGAGGAGGAGAGGAGAGGAGAGGAGAGGAGAGGAGAGGAGGAGGAGGAGAGGGGAGGAGGAGAGGAGAGGAGAGGAGAGGAGGAGAGGAGAGGAGAGGAGAGGAGAGGGGGAGGAGAGGAGAGGAGAGGAGGAGGAGAGGAGGTGGAGAAGAGGAGAGGAGAGGAGAGGAGGAGAGGAGAGGGAGGAGGAGAGGAGAGGAGAGGAGGGAGGAGGAGGAGGAGAGGAGAGGAGAGGAGAGGAGAGAGAGGAGAGGAGAGGAGGAGGAGGAGAGGAGGAGGAGAGGAGAGGAGGAGGAGAGGAGAGGAGAGGAGAGGAGGAGGAGGAGGAGGAGAGGAGGGAGAGGGAGAGGAGGAGGAGGAGGAGGGAGAGGAGAGGAGAGGAGAGAGGAGAGGAGGAGGGAGAGAGGAGAGGAGAGGAGGAGGAGAGGAGAGAGGAGAGGAGAGGAGAGAGGAGGAGGGAGAGGAGAGGGAGGAGAGGAGAGGAGAGGGGGAGGAGAGGAGGAGGAGAGGAGGTGGAGGAGAGGAGAGGAGGAGGAGAGGAGGTGGAGGAGAGGAGAGGAGGAGGAGAGGAGAGGAGGAGATAGAGAGGAGAGGAGGAGAGGAGAGGAGGAGGAGAGGAGGTGGAGAAGAGGAGAGGAGGTGGAGAGGAGGAGGAGAGGAGGAGATGAGGAGAGAAGAGGAGATGAGGAGAGGAGGAGGAAGAGGAGGAGCTGAGGAGAGGAGGAGGAAGAGGAGGAGAAGAGGAGAGGAGGAGGAGATGAGGAGAGGAGGAAGAGGAGGAGAAGAGGAGAGGAGGAGGAGAGGAGGAAGAGGAGACGAGGAGAGAGGGATTGTTCAGATGCGGCTGCTGTCCATCAGTCAGCGATCAGCGGCTGTTACACTCGCTCCATAAGTTCTCCCGGACTCTAAACTTTCTAAAACAGAACTGTGCGCGTCGCGTGTGTGCGTGTGCGTGTGCGCGCGCACTTGCACGAGAGCGTGTGCGTGTGTGCTTGCGCGTGTGTGTGTGTTTTCGAGGGTGAGACTGGCTCCTTGCTACAGACCAGTGTCCTGCACGGCTCGGTCCGACCCGCGGCTCTTACCGAGTGGATCTGCAGAGGTCCCGGGTCTGTGTCCCTCTCTCTGCGGGGAAAGTGCGTCTGCGAGCCGGCTCCTCTCGGTCTCCGGTGGGTCTGGGTCTAGGTCTTTGGAGCGCTCTGGGTCGTGTTTCTGATGCGGGGGAGGTCGTGGGGGAGGTCGTGGGGGAGGCAGGGGGAGGTCAGGGGGACAGGCCGACTTCAGGCTCCTCCGCTCGGATTCACTTGTTGCAGAGAGAAGAGGAGGAGCCAAGACTGAAAACACAGAAGAACCAGACTCAGGAGCTCGGAGCGAGTCCACGGCCCGGACCAGGACAGACCAGGACAGACCAGGACCCCCGGGGGCCTCAGACACACACTGACACACACTGACATACACAAACACACACTGACATACACAGACACACACAGACACACACTGAGCCTCAGACACACACTGACACACACTGACATACACAGACACACACTGACACAGACTGAGCCTCAGACACACACTGACACACACTGAGCCTCAGACACACACTGACACACACTGACATACACAGACACACACTGACACACACCGAGCCTAAGACACACACTGACACACACTGAGCCTCAGACACACACTGACATACACTGAGCCTCAGAAACACACTGACACACACTGACATACACACACTGAGCCTCAGACACACACTGACACACACTGACACACACACTGACACACACTGACACACACTGAGCCTCAGACACACACTGACACTCACTGACACACACTGACACATACAGACACACACTGACACACACTGACACATACTGACACACACTGACACATACAGACACACACTGACACACACTGACACACACTGACACATACTGACACACACTGACACATTCATGTTACAAACACAAATATAGTGTATTTTGTAAAGACCAACAGTGTCCTCTGGGTCTAACAGCCCGAGAGCAGGAGGATGTTTTTCCCCATTCCTCGTTACACAACAGCTCTGTCAGAGCAGAGGGTTTGTCTCAGAGACAGAGCTGCAGCTGCGGCAGCGGATCACAGGCAGCTGCTCCGTCTGACACTGGCATTCACTGTCTGTGTGTGTCTCTGTGTGTGTCTGTCTGTGTGTGTGTGTGCGTGTGTGTGTGTCTCTGTTGTCTCTGTGTATCTCTGTGTGTCTGTGTGTGTCTGTGTCTCTGTCTGCCAGACCAGAGCAGAGAGGATTCATGGTTTTACACTGGTCCAGACCAGAGCAGAGAGGATTCATGGTTTTACACTGGTCCAGACCAGAGCAGAGACGATGGTCTGAACCAAACTCCTGCTGAGACCAGAGACTGTTGTTGTTAATGATAATTTTATGTTTTATTTTTGCTGCTACTGAATGTATCCTACAGTGATCAATACAGTATCTATTTATCTACTTGTGTGTATAGGTGTGTGTGTGTGTGTCTCTGTGTGTGCGTGTGTGTGTGTCTCTCTCTGTGTGTCTCTGTGTGTGTGTCTGTGTGTGTCTCTGTGTGTATCTGTGTGTGTGTGTGTGTGTGTCTCTCTGTGTTTATGTATGTGTGTGTGTGTGTGTCTCTGTGTGTGTGTGTGTGTCTCTGTGTGTCTCTGTGTGTGTGTGTGTGTGTGTGTGTGTGTGTGTCTCTGTGTGCATCTGTGTGTCTGTGTCTCTGTGTTTATGTATGTGTGTGTGTGTGTCTCTGTGTGTGTGTGTGTCTCTGTGTGTCTCTGTGTGTGTGTGTGTGCGTGTAGCTCCCTCTGGTGTCAGTGATGACGTCACACGGGGAAATGTCAAATATCTTTTTATTGTAGATTTAAAATATATAGTTTTATTATATACGATTAAAGTGGATCTCTACAACAGGGAGGGGAGGAGGGAGGGGAGGGGAGGGGAGGAGGGAGGAGTAAGAATCACAATCATTAAGATAATAAAGAAAATTATGTGACATTATGATTCTTATCTTTTATGTGGAAAAAACATTAAAATATATGAGACTGGACCAGAGACAGGACCAGAGACAGGACCAGAGACTGGACCAGAGACTGGACCAGAGACAGGACCAGAGACTGGACCAGAGACTGGACCAGAGACTGGACCAGAGACTGGACCAGAGACAGGACCAGAGACTGGACCAGAGACTGGACCAGAGACTGGACCAGAGCTGAGGGCAGAGACAGACCAAGTTTTAAACAAGTATTTTCATTCTAGTCCATTGGTCTTGGTCCATTTTAGTCCTGGTCTTGATCCATTTCAGTCCTGGTCTTGGTCCATTTCAGTCCTGGTCTTGGTCCACTTTAGTCCATTGGTCTTGGTCCATTTCAGTCCTGGTCTTGGTCCATTTCAGTCCTGGTCTTGGTCCATTTCAGTCCTGGTCTTTGTCCATTTTAGTCCTGGTCTTGATCCATTTCAGTCCTGGCGTTGGTACATTTCAGTCCTGGTCTTGGTACATTTCAGTCCTGGTCTTGGTCCACTTTAGCCCAGGTCTTGGTCCACTTTAGTCCAGGTCTTGGTCCACTGTAGTCCTGGTCTTGGTCCACTTTAGTCCAAGACTTGGTCCACTGTCGTCCAAGTCTTGATCCACTTTAGTCCAGGTCTTGGTCCACTGTAGTCCAGAACATGGTCCACTTTAGTCCAGGTCTTGGCCCACTTTAGTCCAGGTCTTGGTCCACTTTAGTCCAGAAATTGGTCCACTGTCGTCCAGGTCTTGGTCCACTGTAATCCTGGTCTTGGTCCACTGTCGTCCTGGTCTTGGTCCACTGTAGTCCTGGTCTTGGTCCACTGTAATCCTGGTCTTGGTCCACTGTCGTCCTGGTCTTGGTCCACTGTAGTCCTGGTCTTGGTCCACTGTAGTCCTGGTCTTGGTCCACTGTAATCCTGGTCTTGGTCCACTGTCGTCCTGGTCTTGGTCCACTGTAGTCCTGGTCTTGGTCCACTGTAGTCCTGGTCTTGGTCCACTGTAGTCCTGGTCTTGGTCCACTGTAATCCTGGTCTTGGTCCACTGTAATCCTGGTCTTGGTCCACTGTCGTCCTGGTCTTGCC